CCCCAAAACCCCAAAACCCCAAAACCCCAAAACCCCTGGTATATAAAGAAAAATTGTCAGATTTTTATAATTAATTTTTAAATTTAATTCGAAATGAGTAATAATCAGTACAATCATGATCCTACATCAAATTTCGGAGGAAATATTGCTCCTATGGGGTCCCAGCCCGGTTCAAGTCAGGAGAAGAGAACGACTGAAGGCATGCCTCCTGTTTCTGCTCCTTCTAGCTCTAGTGTGGCTAGGAACGAGGGTGATTCTCAGTATAATAGGGGAACTCAAAACACTTCAAATAACTATGGTACTGGGTATATCAACCAAAATCAGCCAAATAATCAGCCAAGTTATAATCAGCCTGGAATTCAGCCACAACAGAGTAGTTTTAATCAGGAGAATTATGGAATGGGCTTTACAAATTCTGCTCCTCAGCATCCACCTATCTCTTCTGGAATGATGGGAGCTCCAAATTTGAGTAGCAATCAGCCTCCTATTGGACAGAGAAATTACCAATCCTACCCCCAGCCTGGATATAGTGGAACTCAGACCTCAAGCCAAGAGATGGCTCAAAATGTTGGAGGAATGAATAACTCTGGAGGAATGAGCCATGGCCAGAGCCAGAATCATATCTCTACAGTAAACCAGCCTTCAATCCAGAGTATGCCCCCTGTAAGTGTCCCACAGACCACTACCCCAAGTTTGAATACTATCCAAGGTGAGAAGACTTATGAACCTGGAACTCTCCCACCAACTTCTACACCAAGTCGCCCTAACTACGTCGAACTCCTTGGAATTAGTGAAGAATCTCAGCAGGAATTTGATAAGAAAGCAGCTCTTTGAAAACAGTATAACCAAACAGACGTATTTGCCGCCATTCAAGTGAAAAATGAAGAAGATGGATTAAAAATAATTGACTATCTATTGAAAAATGGAGTGGACCTGACTGCAAAAGATGCTTTAAAGCAGACTGCTCTTTTCTATGCCTCGAGAGACGGAAAATTCAAGATCCTCAACCTGCTTATAGACCAAGGTTGTAAAGCTAATGAGAGAGACCAGTATGGGCAAACTCCCATCTACTATGCCTCTAGAGATAATAAGATAGATATCTGAAAAAGACTCATCGAATGAGGAGCTGATGTTAATAATGAAGATATGCATAACCAAACCTGCATGTTTTACGCCGCTAAGCAAGGCAACATTGACATGTGTGCCAAGTTACTCGAAAGTGGTGCAAATATTAACCATACTGATAATAAGAGACAGACCCCACTCCACTGGGCCCAAAAGAGTAGGAAAACAGAAATGGTGGATTGGCTCATTTCCAATGGAGCTTCTCCAATTACCCGCAAAACGGAGAAAAAGAAAACTACTAAAATTAAGAGAAGTAATAATGCCCGTAAAAGCCAGAAATATGTCCTAACTAGATTTGTTAATGGCCAATGGCTTCCTCTTGCTTATGAGGATTTCAAGAAATTGGAAGAAGAATGTCCTGAAGTTGCTAAAATCCTGAAAGATCCTACACAACTTGAGAACTTGCCCATCCCTGAAATTCCGGAAAATACTCCTGTGTATGATCACTGGGAGAAGCCTGCTCAAAGAATAATACAGCACCTGTGGAAACAAGAAGGTGCTTGGGTGTTCCAACATCCTGTAGATGCTAAAGCTTGGAAAATTGAAGATTATTACCAAATTATCACTGACCCTATGGATTTCTCCACTATAAAACAGAAGCTGAAGGAGAACAAGTATCTAAACGTAGACCAATTCAAACTGGATGTTCACAAAGTATTCGATAACTGCATAAAGTACAACGGAGAGGCTAACCAGTACTCCTTGATTGCTAACAAGATGCGTAAGGAATTCGAGACCCAATTACAACTATTCCATGTTACTCTGAACATGGGGAAGTAAGCAACCGCCATGAGTTTTCTAATTTTGTGCTCAAATTCATTGATCAATAGACTGAGTCACTTCTAAGCGAATATGAGCTAGTTCAATATGAAAAGGTTTTTAGGGGTTTTGGGGTTTTGGGGTTTTGGGGTTTTGGGGTTTTGGGGTTTTGGGG